TTCTACGGCTACTGCTGCTGCTGCTACTACTGCTCCTACTGCTACTGCTGCTCCTGCGTACTGCGCCACTATGGCCTCGCTTTGAGTTCTTGTCGGCCTGCTCCCGGGCCACCCATCCCCTGCCTTTCGTTGCCTCGGGATCCCTTGTGCTGATGGGGTCTGTGATTGTGACATCACACACCCAAACCGCCCCGCTGCTACGGTCACTCATGGTGAAGTCGGCCGTTTGTTCCTCAATCGGACAGAAGGCTGCTGACTCGTTGTGGACAATGAACCCCGCGTCTTGGGCCATGCTGATGCATGCGTCCCGAAGCTCGTTGTGGGTGTTAATGCGGTGCTTGCCCGTGTCGCAGCGGAAGAGGTGGTTTGGTAGACGTGGATCGGGGATGGCTGTTTGGTCCGTGCAATCGCAGTTCGCCGGCGTAGAGAATGGGAGGCCCAGCCGGAAGCGAACAGCGTTAGCGAAGTGCACAGGTCCAATGCGCCGATTTGCCGCGATGGGGATGGCGGTCAGCCAGTCTCCTGTGCCGTACCCGGTCAGCGAAAACATGCGTTGGGTGTGGCCTGATAGCGGATTCAGCTTCATGCGCCTACTCTCCCGGACTTGGACGACGTACCTGCTCCCCTAGACTTTCAGAGCAAGCGCGTGCTGGAGCCTAAGATCCGACCGTGCCAGTCTCTCCTTTTCCAGCAATTCACATGCGTCAGTAGGCAGAGCCAGTTCGCACTTAGTGAGCCAGGTATGTAGTGGCGAGGTGACGTCCCGGGGCAGTAGCATGTGGTTCCTGACTTGTGCCAGGGCACTATCCGGCGCTAGTGTGAGGGATGTGAGGAAAGGCGCCGCCTGGGTGAAACTCGCCAAAAAGCCGTGCACACCCTCTACTAAGGGATTCGTAATACCGATCCCGCCTAGCGACGGAGGGAGTGACGCCTGTGCCCAAACCCTCGGGTGCTCAATGCTACACGAGGGGACCCGGATTCCGCACGAAGTGAGAAGTGTGGCTAACAGGTCTCTGCCCCATTGAGACCACGTATTGCGGGAGAGGAGGTTGAGTGGGGTCGTTCTAGTGAGGTAGGCTATACGCCTAGAGATGCAGCGAGTTAGCAGCAGTGAGGCAACTTGGGGGTCGGCTCAATCGAGGAGTGGTAACAGCTTCGCCATCTCCTCCAGTTGCCCCACTAGGAAATTGGCAGCGCCGTTGGCAGGGCCCAGGTAACTACCAAGGAGGCGCACCCCATCCTTGGAAAATGGGACCCGGGTGGTAGCTGGGTAGTCACGACTGTGGCTTAACTCCAGGCTGCGCATTTCTCCGGGTTATGAGCTAGGCCTAGGTGCGCCAGTTTGTTGGTGAAGAATGTGAAGGCAACTACAGTGTTCTCCTGTTCTCCCATGAACGTGTTCTCTCTCTCAATCAGTCCTGTATGAATAGGGTGCACAAGGTACAGGCATGGCAGGTGATGGTTGCAACGTGTTCTCTCTCTCTCTCTCTCTCTCTCTCTCTCTCTCTCTCTCTCTCTCTCTCTATCTATCTCTCTCTCTCTCTCTCTCTCTAATGGTCCGTGTATTGATATAGGAAAGGGTACAAACATGCAAAGTATGGGAGCTAGGACTGAAAACAACAAGCAAACCAGAAACTAACCACACACAACTGCCTTTCTACACCTCCATAAGGGGCTCTATTATAGCACAACAGTCTCCAAGATGAAGCTCAGACTGCACCCCCCCCACGGGGGGATTTTCAGCTACTGCCGCCTGACTCGACTTAATAAGGTAACCCACTGACTGTGCTCTTTGCAGAGCCACGGACCACCGCTGCCTGAAGAGATGGAGGAACCTAGCCGCATGAAGGGAGTGAGGTTGGGCGTTGAATTGATGCCTAGCAGCTATGTCCGCCAGTAGCTCAAGAAATCTGGGACCTCTGCACATGGGCACACATAGGTATCTACCGCCAGCGGGAAGAAGCCAACCGTGTCCGGCCGGTTGGCATAGTGTCTCTTTTTCTTGTCCGCCATCTCTCTTGCTGCCCATCCTCTTCCCTTGGTTGCATTCGGGTCCCTGGTGCTGATGGGGTCGGTGATGGTGACATCACAGATCTACACCGCCCCTGAGCTCCTGTCTTGTATAGTGATATCCGCAGTCTGGTCCTCGATTGGGCAGTAGGCGACAGATTCCCCATAGACAATGAGACCCGCGTCTTGTGCCATAGTGATGCAGGCGTCCCGGAGCTCGTTATGGGTGTTAATCCTGTGCTTGCCCGTGCTGCAGCGGAAAAGATGGTTTGGCAGCCGAGGGTCGATGATCGCTGTGTGGTCCGAGCAGTCGCACCTGGCGGGCGTAGAGAAGGGTAGGCCAAGGCGAAAGCGGACAGCATTGGAGAAGTGCTCTGGCGCGACGCGGCGGGTGTTTTCAATCGGTAAAGCCGTCAGCCAGTCTCCGGTGCCATAGCCGGTAAGGGAGAACATGCGCTGGGTGTGCCCAGATAGCGGGTTGAGGCTTATCCGTCGGGTCTCCTGAACTTGTATCACATATCTCCTCCCGTGGACTTTCACTGCGAGGGCGTGTTGCAGCTTCACGCCCTTAGGTTCTAGTCTCTCTGCTTCTAGGATCTCACGAGCGTCTGCCGGTAGAGCCCTTTCACAGGCCGACAGCCACGCATGAAGGGGTGTGCTAGTGTCTCGTGGTAGTAACATGAAGTTCTTGGCCTTTGTCTGGATGTCGTCCGGTTCTAAGGGGAGCGAGCAGAGGAGTAGGGCTGCCTGAGTGAAGCTTGCTAGGAAGCCATATATTCCTTCGACCGTGGGGTTGGTGAGGCCGATCCCACCTAGAGAGGGGGGTAGTGTGGACTGTTCCCAGACCCGGTTTTGCTCAGTAGTACTTGTTGGATAGCGGATACGGATACCGCATGAGGCTAAAAGGGTGGCAAGAAGGTCCCGTCCCCACTGCGACCAGCTGCCGTCGGGGAGGAGGTTGAGCGGTGTGGTCCGCATAAGGTAGGCTACGCGGCGGGATATGCAGCGGGTGAGGAGCAGCGAGGAGGTCTGTGGGTCCATTCGTTCGAGCAGTGGGAGCGGTTTCGCCATCGCCGTGAGTTGTTCCTTAATGAAAGAGGCTGCCCCGTCCGTCGTTCCTATGAAACTGCCTAAGAGCCGAACGCCGTCATCGGAAAAGGGAACTCCCAGTGGTAGTTGTACCGAGCTGGCTGGGCGGGTTCTACTCCATGCGGCACACTTTCCGGGATTATGTCGGAGGCCTACTAACTCTAGCTGTCCAGTGAAATGAGCGAAGGCTTCGGTTGTCTCGGCGGAGGCACCTAGGAACGTGACATCGTCGGCGTAGGCTAGGCAGAGCACGCGGGGGTAAGCGTCTGCCGTCGCACGTAGGGCTGGGTGTATTCCTGCCACGAACAGCAGGGGGCCTAAGGGGTCTCCCTGGCGGACACCTCGTTCGCTTGCCAAGGGTGCGCTGTTGAAACCGGCATCGAGGTAGAGTAGCGACGGGTTGCCATATGTGAGTTGAACCAGCGGCAGTAATGGTTGTAACGCATCGTCCTGTAAAGCTGCTACTATTCCTTGTCGCGAGATACTGTTGAAAGCGTTTGATAGGTCGGTTTGTAGTATCAGTGTGTCAGGTCGGGTGTCGATGAAAGCCCGTACGGTGTGGATGATCGCCTCTGCTCCACTTGGGACTGCCACCCCGAATTGCAGCGGTAGGAAAAACTCCCGTGCTGCTTCTCCTATTACTGACAAGGCGGCCTTTGCTGCCAGGCGGGTCAAGCATTCGCCTATTGCAATTGGTCGGGCCCCGCCTTCTGGCTTGGCCAGCGCAATTAGGCGGGATGACGTGAGCAGGTCTGCTACAGGCTGGGGCAATTTACCCCCCATCATGGTGTTAACCAAGGCGTGAAGATGGGTGCAGACCGATGCGTTCGTGATTGCCGCATTGCGCAAGTGTTCAAAAGTGGTGCCAGATGGCCCTGCACCCACTCCGTTCTTGCACCGGCTCAGCAGCTTGTGGAAGTCAGCGTATCGGATTGAGAGGCTTCGGGGATCGTCGCGTTGGGGCCACATCAGCGGCTCGGGTCCCGCTTGTGGGTGTTTCTGTCGGAGTTCATCCAAAATCCCAGGACAGGGCGTGCAGACTGGGGTTGACTCCAGTGCCAACACCGCTCTGCGTAGACTCCCACGCTTCGCCAGTCCCTCCGCTCTGCTGATGACACCTGTGTCATCGGGTTGGTGTCGTGGCGGTGCTGGGTTATTGACTGCTTCAGTTACTTCAGTGTACAGCTGATCCCATTCGCCACGTTGGAACGACCGGAGTCGCGCTTTGATTTTCGGCCAATCTGGGCGTTTTGACGAAGTCTGACGAAGAGTGAGACGCGGGAGAAAAAGGAGCAGGCGCCAGCCTGCGATAGAGCCCGGGTTATGCGATAGATGTAGGAGTGGTGTCAGCAGGCATAGCGAAAAAAGCTGACACACGTTTGGCGGCAATCTGCGGGCTAGCGAGGGTTGGCGACTGTCGCAGAGCGGGGCAATATCCCAATTCGCAAGTGGAGCGAACCGGTCATGGTGTGTCGCCAGCTCCTCTGGCGAGTAGTAGCGCTGATGTGGGACCACGGGCGCCACGCTGGCCTGGCGCCTCGCGGTCCGATTTGTGCGGCTGCGGCTCGGGGAGGGGGTTGGAGATTGAATTGAATTTCTGGCCGTACGATCGCCATCGTGTGGCTCACCCTCAGCTCGATGAGATTCCTCTGCACTCCGCTGCTCCGTTCGACTTCTGCTCGCTGCCTCTTTCCTTTCCCGGGTTCCATCTTCCTCTTCACTGGTACTACTAAGGACATACGTCTCCTCCCTATAAGAGGGGTCGTTGCGCTCCTCCTGGTCGATATCTTCGATTATCGTTCTTAAAGCCTGTCGTCTTGCCACCTGGAAGGCATTCTCCGGTCTGCCGCCCACACGACTAGCTGCTCCTCCCCCGCGGCGTCTACCCCGTCCTCTCCGCGATGGTGATCGAAGGCTGGCTTGAGCCAGAGTGCGTTGTCGTTGCGTCTGTGGGTTCCGGTAGGTTGCCGGCAGTGTCTGGCTCGGTGACTGCCTCGAAGAAGCCGCCACTGCCGTTTGCACCGAAACCCCCTCCCTCCGTGCTGGAGGCCCCGAATCCACCAGAGCCGGCTCCACCTACCGCAGAGCCTCATCTCCCCACTGCGGCAACTCCTCACGCGCACGTTCCTGCGGGGCCTGCTCCCGTTGCCCCTGTTGCTCCTGTTGCTCCCGTTGAGTCTCCAGTTCCCGTTGTCGTTTTTTATGCCCCCCCGGGCGCTCTGGTCCTCGATGCGCCGCATGTCTCTGTCGCCCTGCCTGCACCAGTTGTTGCTGTTGGTTCGTCGCCGCACGCGGTGTCCGCCACCACTGGCGGCCCGGGGGAGGTGGGGGGGGGCGTTGCGTCGGTTCCCGTCCTACCGATTGCGGCAACATCGGTGCCGTCCCCGGACGTCCTGGCGGTTCCAGATCCCGCACCGCATGCTGCTGCTCCCCTGGCTCAGCGTCAGCCGTCTCTAAGCCGCCGGCAGCATCGGCCTCACTCTCCTGCGCCCCGTGACGAGCGGGAGACGACGCGGCGGCGACACGATTCTCCTCGGCGCCGTGGGTCCCAGGAAAACTGGGCTGCATCCCGTGGCGGTCGCGGTGGCTGGTGGGGGGGGCGTGGTCGTGGTGGCGGCTGGGCGTATGATCAGCCAGTAACGATGGCTGATCTACAGCGCGTTGTTTCTGATGCGATGCGACTGGAGCGAAATGGGCAGGCGAGCCAGAGCAACTCGCCGCACGTCGCTCCAGCACATGCGTCCCTTCCTCCGTCTGCGCCCTATGAGACTGCACCTCCTCTTCCACAGTCAGCCGTCCCCCCTCCCCCAGCTCCCTCTGCATCTGTCGTTGCTCATGGGAACCGGATGCGCGTGCCGTGGGTTCCTCCTGTGGCGGGTATGGAGTTTGTGACCGCGGCTGGAGGACCCCAGGCGAGCCAGTATTCCTCCCTATTGCCTGTTGCTCCTGCTCCTCCGGCTGCATCGGTGCCAGTACAGTCACTGGTGGGTCCCTCTCCGTCAACCGTGGTGCCAGAGGCGTTGCTGGGGCAGCTATGGCGCCTCTCTGAGGGTCTGCGGGCAGTGCACCTGATTCAGGTGTATGGTCACGCGGCTCTCTCCCAGGATGTTCATCTGGACCCTGGCCCCCGGGACGAGTGCCTGGATGCCGCGGATCGGCTGGCCGAGCTCTTGGCGCCCGTGTTGGCTGCGCCCGCGCGGGGTGGAGTTGCGGGCGTTGGACAGCTGGGGACGGCGGTCCGTGGTTTGCGCAAGTTTTTGCGCGCGGGCTCTGCCGTCGACTTGATCGGCGCAACGACAGTGGTGGTGCGCGAGCTTCATCGTTCTCTGACGGGTCTTCTCGCTGTCCTTGACGCGGATCAGATGTAGGATCCCCTTGTGCTTGTCCCATATTGTTGCTAGTAGATGGGACCCCCTGCCATGACTGTACGCCTGTGCCTTATTATTGCCTGCGATGTGCTTGCCGTTCCCTCACGCGCGGCCGAAGGCCGTGCTGTCCAGCGTCGGCCGCCGAAGGCGGCCTGCGCGAGCCGCTCGGTTAGGGGAGCAAATGAACACAGAACTGAATAATGAGGCTCTAGGACAAGGTCCTAGAGCCTTTATACTAGGCTGGAGAGGGCTGGAGAGGCTAAGGATTAGGGCCTCTCTCTCTCTCTTTCTCTCTCCTCTCTCGTTGACCACCCATATAGAAGTTGGCTGTCGACCTCCCTCGTATGTGGCTTAGCAGCGGTCTACGCAGGTCCGCCAACTCCGCCGACCTGCTCGCCGAAGTCGGCGTCGACCTCTGCGGGCAGCCAGCTGCACCTCCCACACACCCGACTGCGTAGTCAGCTTCGCCAAAGTGAGGGCGAGGCCGCTTCCTGTTAACACTCCCCTGTAGTGCTCACGTTTGGGCACCCCACACACTAGGTCTACCAGAATCCAAGGGATAAAATACACGGGGAAACTCTGTCAGAATATTATAGTGCTTACATTTGTGTAGGCTATAGTGAGGCAGCCCATAAGGGGTACAACCCAATTAGGGTTAGTACTTGTACCCAACTGTTTCATAGTTCATTCATTCTCGTTCATTCTTTTGACATGGTTTCAGAGCAGGTCCTCTGCTAGGACCGTTTTTTTCCCTTGGGCCCACCACTGCGCTGCCCCACTAGCCGCCCCTAGCGACCCTCGTGTCGCCCCTAGGCCTGTCACCCCGGCCCGTCGCCCCTAGGCCCGTTGCCTAGGTCCGTCGCCCATAGGCCGGCCCGTCGCCCCTAGCCCAGCCCGTAGGCCCGTTGCCCCTAGCCCGGCCCATCGCCCCTAGGCCCGTCGCCCCGGCCCGTCGCTCCTAGGCCCGTCGCCCCTAGGCCGGTCCGTCGCCCCTAGCCCGGCCCGTAGGCCCGTCGCCCCTAGCCCGGCCCGTAGGCCCGTCGCCCCTAGCCCGGCCCGTCGCCCCTAGGCCACGCGCCCCGGCCAGTCGCCCGACGCCCCTAGGCCCGCGCCCGTCGCCCCTAGCCCCGGCCCGTCGCCCGACTCCCCTACGCCCCGGCCCGTCGCCCATCGCCCCTAGGCCCGCGCTTGTCGCCCCTAGGCCCGCGCCCGTCGCCCCTAGCCCCGGCCCGTCGCCCGACTCCCCTAGGCCCCGGACCAACACCCATCGCCCCTAGGCCTGTCGCCCCTAGGCCCCGGCCCTCGCCCGTCGCCCAGCACCCGTCGCTCCTAGGCCCCGGCCCGACAGTCGACCCCAGGCCCTGCGAGCCGCCCCTTCTGGCCCGTCCCTCGACCCTGCAGCTCGCGAGCCGCCCTTGCAGCCCCGCTCGCCACCCCTGCTGCTCTGCTAGCCGCCCCATCCTTAGAAAATGGGACCCGGGTGGTAGCTGGGTAGTCACGACGGTGGCTTAACTCCAGGCTGCGCATTTCTCCGGGTTATGAGCCAGTCCTATGTGCGCCAGTTTGTTGGTGAAGAATGTGAAGGCAACTAGAGTGTTCTCCTGTTCTCCCATGAACGTGTTCTCTCTCTCAAGCAGTCCTGTATTAATAGGGTGCACAAGGTACAGGCATGGCAGGTGATGGTTGCAACGTGTTCTCTCTCTCTCTCTCTCTCTCTCTCTATCTCTCTCTCTCTCTCTCTCTCTCTCTCTCTCTCTCTCTCTCTAATGGTCCGTGTATTGATATAGGAAAGGGTACAAACATGCAAAGAGTGAGGCCGCCATGCGTGATTGCATTGCTCTCATCACTCTTTATCATGCCATGCATGGCAGGGAGTGAGGCCACTATACATGAGTCTTGTGACTCTCTTTCTCTCTCATCATGCCATGCATCTTAGGGAGTGAGACCGTCATTCATGCATTCCTCTCATCACTAGCTCACCACATCCACCCCAATCTCCATTGATGTCATGTTTCCCCAGCTCCCTACCATTAACAGACCCGTTTGGGAATGTGTACGCCGACTGGACCAAGCTATACTCGTACCTTGCCAATTACCCTGAAGGGAGCCGTGAGACTAGCACGATGCAGTACGCCTCGAACCGCCATTGCTCGGTTTTTATGTAGATAAGGACGACCTTGCAAACATGGATCCAACATCATTTCAATGGCGGGCTATGGAGCACCATACATAAGAGCCCATACTTACATAAGAGCACCCCCCACCTTCACCCTCACTCGTGCCTCCCATGCATTAGAGGGTGTAGGGCATAGAGCATACCTTCCACACCCTCACCCTCACTCACGCATGTCTTGCATCGGAGGGTGGAGGGCAAATTGGCATACCATCCTCTCATCCTCATTCACACCTCCCTTGCATTGGAGATTGTGGGCTTGAGAGGGTGTGTGTAATTACTAGCCTCATTATTATTATTATTGTTATTGTTATTATTATTACTACTGTCAAAACAATATTGTGATATTAGGTTGTAGTGGGTCATGTTCTATGGGGTACAACCCAATTAGGGTTAGGTATTTGTACTCAACTTCTGCCTAATGCATTCATTCCTCTTTCCTTATTCTGAGATGGTATTAGAGTAGGTTCTTTCCCTACGGCCCACCGAACGTTCCGCCCTGCCCGGCCTTGTGAACTTTTTTTTCTGCCCTCCTGCCCAGCGTGCTGCCCTGCCCACGCGCGCCCTGCTGCCCTGCCCACGTGCGCACCTTACTGCACTGCCCGCGTGCTCTGCTGCCCTGCCTGGCTGCCGCACAGCCCTGCCTGCCCGCACATCGCACCCTGCTGCAGCCCGCACGTCGCGCCCTGCTGCAGCCTGCGAGTCGCGCCCTGCTGCCCCCCGCGTCGCGCCCTGCTGCAGCCCACGCGTCGTGCCCCACTGCTGCCCGCGCGTCGCACCCTGCAGCTCGCGCGTCGCATTCTGCTGCCCCACTCGTCGCGCCCTGCTGCAGCCCTCGAGTCGCGCCCCATTGCTGCCTAGCGCCGCCCTACCCGCGCGCGCTCTGCCTGCGCCACGCGCCCTGCCCTGCCTACGCCAAGCGCCCCACCCTGCCTGCGCCTCGCGCCAGCGCCCTACCCTGCGTGCGCTAGCGCCGTGCCCTGCCCGTGCCAGCGCCCTGCCCTGCCAGCGCGCCACGCGCCCTGCCCTGCCAGCGCGCCACGCGCCCTGCCCTGCCTGCGCCATGCGCCCTGCCCTGCCAGCTCGCCACGCGCCCTGCCCTGCCTGCGCCAAGTGCCATGCCCTCCCTGTGCCTTGCGCTAACGCCCTGCCCTGCCCACGCCAGCGCCCTGCCCTTCCAGCGCGCCACGCGCCCTGCCCTGCCTGCGCCACGCGCCCTGCCCTGCGAGCACGCCACGTGCCCTGCCCTGCCAGCGCGCCACGCGCCTTGCCCTGCCTGCGCCACGCGCCCTGCCCTGCCAGCGCGCCATACGCCCTGCCCTGCCTGCGCCAAGTGCCCTGCCCTCCCTGTGCCGTGCGCTAGCGCCCTGCCCTGCCCGCGCCAGCGCCCTGCCCGCGCCAGCGCCCTGCACTGTCCGCGCTAGCGCTGCTCTGCACGCTGCCCAGCACTGACCTGCCCTGTGTGCTCGCGCTGCCTGCACGCTCCTGCCCTGCCCCGCGCGTACCGCCAACTGCCGCTACCGCCTGCGCACACTCCTACAGTTGCTACCACTATTGCTCCTACCACTGCTGCCACTACACCTACCGTCCCAGCTATCGCCAATGCAGTAGCTACTTTCCACCTTGCGCCGCTGCTACTGTCTGCCACTGACTGCCATGGCCACTACAACCGTCCTACGTCAGCGGCAGCCGAGTGTACAGGAGTCTCTCTCACCGCAGCAGCTTTGCGAGTGGGCTATCTGGTGGGGCAGTCCCGGTGGCGGAGCTAGCCGTGCTTGTTGGCAGCAGCCACTTTTGCCACAGCAGCGTCGTGAGTGGGCTGCCCGGTGGAGTGCTACTACTGGAGGTACCTGTGAGTCTACTCTTGCTGGTAGTGCCGCTAGTAGACGCGGAGGTTTTGGGGGTGGACAGCAGAATCCGCTGGAGACTCTCTCCCCGTAGCAGCTTCGTGAGCGGGCTGTCCGGTGGGGCAGCCCCGGTGGCGGAGGGTTTCGGGGTACTTGTACTGGGGGTGTAGAGGCACCTGGTGGCGTAGAGGCTACTAGTCTCGGTGCGTGTGACTCAGCTAGCGCAGGGGCAGCGCCTGAGGAGTCCTTGCACACTTTTGCCTGAGGAGCGTCTCGTTGCTTCTTCTATGACAGCACCACAGTCACACCGTGTTAGAGACTAAGGACGGAGTCTATGAAGATTAGGGGCTGAAATATCTCAAAATCGTCAACTACAATTCTGGACAGAAAAGTCGTCGTCACAAGAAACGTCGTCGACGAAAGGTCCACTGTTAGAATTCTTTCAAACTCGAGTATGTTGTAGCCCTTCACCGTGGCTATCTTTCCCAATTTGAATAGTATCAAAATATGGAGTATAACTCGAGTTATGAACTTCGGCGCACTAGGGGGTATGCTGCCATAGAAAACGTAACTCAATCACAATTATCTCACAAGTTCACACAAGAAAGTTAGAGTGGCAATAGAACCAGGTAGGAGGGGATGAGGAGGACGAGAGGGAAGGTCCCAAGGGAGTCCCCAACCAAGGACACCCCATACCACACAATTCCCCTCTCTATAGGCACCCCAACTTTGACATTTGTCACTTTCCCAACTCATGCCATCCACCTCACCCAACTTGACCACACTTGCCAACCTGGTTTGGCACCTCCCAACCACTAGGCAGCATCTACAGTGATGTTGACGAATTTCCCAACCCCCAAGAGTCTGTAATCCTTATGGAGTCAACACCATAACTTCCCATAGTCACCACAACCAAATATCAAAAGCATACGAACTTCCAACGTTCGTACCTTTCTTGTTCGTGCTCCGATTGAAGTGAT